CACCCCCCCCCACCACCCAACCCCCCCCCGCCACACACACACACACACACACACACACACACACACACACACACTGCTCCTGATGTAAACTTATAATAGGAAAAATGAGGACCTGTATTTTGTAACTGCATCTTAAAATGAAATAGGGCATTTAAACTAAAAGCAGTTTGATGGGTAACAATACAGCTGAATTTTGTGTAGAAAAATAGAAACTTCAGACACCCAGTCCCACCCCACTCACCTGTGCAGGCATCGGGGGCCTGGAGCATGAGGCCAAGGTGGAGGCAGAGCAGGCTTGGAGCATGTTTGGCCCATTGTTCAGCACTTGCAGGTGTGTCAAGGGCACAAGCACTCTCGGAACCCAGAAGCACACACTGTGAAGGTGACTCCTCTGGGAGAAGGCAATGGGGGGGGGGCGGCATTATGGCTGGAGCCCACCTTGTCCAGGTTCACATCCCTGTGGTTATGTGGAGCTCCTGTGCGCATTCATCTCCAGAATGCCATGTGCAAGTTGGAGGGCTTCACCAACTACCTTCCTCTGCCACGGCTCCTTCCTTGAGCAGGGATCCAATGACTTCAGAAGGTTCAGGATCCCCAAGATCTGGGAAGTATAGCCCCAAGAGCCCGTGGTGCTGAACGGTATGAACAACACAGACTGGCACTTGCTGAAGGGCAACACAGATGTCAGGATAGAGAGAGATGATCTGGCCCAGGTGGACCTATGAGGATCAAAGAAAGCACATACCTATTCCAGCTGACTGTGCTGGACTTGGAGCAGCTAGAGAAAATGGTCAATGTCACAGTCATTGTGCTGTCCACCAGACAGACAGAAGACGACTGTCTTGCCACCAAGGTGGGCCGCCTTCCCCTGCTAGTACTACAACCCCAGAGAACAGATCTGCAAGTGTTGTATCTAAGGAGGTTGCTTGGGTAACAAGAACTGCTTTCGGGAAGATGAATGCATGCTAGCCTGATGGGATGGGCAAGGCCCTTTGGTGGAAAGGCACAAATCAGTGTGCTCTGGCAATCTGTTACCAGAGCCAGTTCCTCTGCAGCAACAGCAGCTGCATCAGTGGCTTCCTGGAGTGTGACGACACCCCCAACTACCCTGACACCTCTGACAAGGCCACCTGTGAAAAATACAGCAATGAAGCGCTCTAGAGCATTCATTTGCCCAGTGACAAAGTGCACTGTGTGGACCTGCCAGAACTACAACCACTTCATGGATGGCTGTGACCTCTTCACGTATGGTGGTTATTATGGCAACAAGAACAACTTCGAGGAGGAGCAGCAGTACCTGGAGTCCTGTCATGGCATCTCCAAGAAGGATGTGTTTGGTCTATAGTGGGAAAATGCTTTTCCCAATGTAGGCTCGGTGGAGGTGGCTATTGTAGAACTTCTGGGCACTTGTATCGTGGTATTGGTAGCCAACCTGGGTTACTGCTTCTTCAAAAACCAGAAAAAGGGCTTCCGCAGACACCACCACCACCCACCCTCTATCCCTGCCAGCTCCACCATCTCCACCACCAAGGACATGGGGCGCCTGGTCTGTAATCACACAACTCGACCCCTCTGAGCCTGGGGCTCTTGGAGGCTCTCATTTCCAAGCTCTGCTTCTTGCTTGCCAAGACAAAGGCCTGGGCTGGGGGAAAACTTGGGGACCAGACTCATCCTACCTGTTTCTCAGGCCCACACTGCCTCACAGGATAGGGCAGGGAGGGTCTCAACTAGGTTCAGGGCAGTCATTCTTGATAGTTCAAGGGCTTGTGAGGAGCACAAAATCTTGTGAGTCATACATGGATGGACTTCCCTGCCTAGGAATTTGGAGTTTTATTTACTGTTCAAAGATGCCTGTCCCCACCTCATGGTGATGGTGTCAAAAGCCTTGTCTTCCAGAGCTGCCCCTTCATTTCCCCATAGCCCAGGGCTAAGAGGGAGGACTTCCCTGTATAGTGTGTTCTGTGGAGTTGCTTTCTGTATATTTAATGCCATGAGGTTGGTGAAGAGGAGCGTAAGGTGCTGTCTGGCTTCTGCCTCCTCTCTATCCAAGATTGAGCTCGCTCCTCTTTACCCTGCCCCAAGCGGGCCTGGACTGGCAGAGAGAGATGGCCTCATTTTGCATCCCTAGACCCCAGGGCTCTCCATCACACCCCACCCCTCCTCAACTTCCCACCAGCTCCACCCGTAATGTAAAAAAATTATTTGAAAAAAAAAAAAAAGTAAAAAAATATATAAACTTTGATTTGCAGTACTCACGGAGTATCTAAATTTGGTAGTCAGGTTCTGTTTCCCTTCTATTTTTTTCCTTCGATTTTCTACTACTATAAAAATGCCGTGACTTTCTCTGATTCTTTTCATTTCATAGATTCCTAGAGGGAAAAATCCTCAAAGGACTATGAATAACCAATAAAGGATCTAAAATTAGTGCTACAGTAAAAAAAAATGGGAGTAGTAGGAGAGATGAATGTTTTATAAATTCACTCCTTACCTGTTATCTGTAGCAGTCACACTACAAATATCAAACTACTATATCAAAATTGCTATATGTTTTTGGTATGCATACATGTTTTAGATATGAGTGGAACCACAAGAAGTTAAAGCAGGTATGGTTAAGGTAATTGGACAGAATGGGACTATAGCTCTTCTTACAGCATTCCCTATATCATTCCCCTCCCCTCCCCCAGTCTTGAGCATGTAGTGCTTCACTGAAATGCTAAAATTCTAAATAGAAATGTTAATTTATTTAAAGTGAAAAGATACATTTTGCCAAATGATCACTGTAAAAAAGTGTACCTATTTGGATTCCCATGAGAAATTTTTTTATAGTCCTAAAATACTCCAGTGACTTCATTTCAAATTATTAACATTTTATTTTATTATATATATATGTAAAAGAGGTCACATGCACTCACAGGAGAGATGGGAACAGGAGCAAGAAAACACATCTTGTAGAGCATGGTCATGCTGCAATCCATTCTCCTGTTTTCCCCTCCTGCCGAGATTTTGGGCATGCATTCACATATGCCTGGCATGTTTTTTAAGCCACAGAGTCTGGGTCTTGGACTGTGCAACTATGTGGTATCTAACAGCCTTAACCACCATGAAATGAGCTGGCCTTGTTTTACTTCTTATGGTTTATTAATTTCTTCCATGAGCAAGAGAAACAGAGACAGCAGCTCATACAGTCTACTCTGCAACTGATCACTAGCTTCAACCCCATCAGGTGCACTCAAGTGCCTTGTGTATTCAGGGAGGTCTCTGGATGCAAACTTGGAACTTTCTAATGTGGGTCAGCTTTCCAAAGCATTGTGTTTTGCCTTTGTGCCAATGTCCAGCCTCCCATCTTAATTTACATATACTTTATACCTGAGCCCACTCAAATATTTTGAACCGTCTTTGAAACATACATACTTCTATGTAATAGAAGTGAGGAAATTAGGTTAAAGAAAAAACAACTGTAGGAAACCTAAGATGAGGCTAGAGGACCAAAGAATCTACCCAAACCATCTGGAAGCTGTTTAAAATTCTCATTCTTTTCCTTATCGCAGACCTGCTAAGTCAGAATCTCTAGGGTAAGGCTTTGGAATCTCCTTTTCAACAGGAGACTCTGATTTAGAGTCCTGAAGTAATTTAAAAGAAGAAAAGTAGGGGGACCATCAGTTGGAGTAATGGCTATGTCGCTGGACTCCCATGTAGTCAACTGTGGTTTAAGTCCTGGACCCAGTGGTTTAAACTCACGCCGGGCACATGTGCGTGTGTGCCCAAGATCCAGGGAGGAGAATGGAGGAGAAGGGATTGCAGCATGGCCATCCCCCCCTGGAGGGGTAATTTCTCACTGTCTCTCTTTCTCTCTCTTTTTGGTAAGCACACACGCCCTACAGCAAAAACCTCTCCAAGAAAAAAAAAGAAAAAGAAGAAGAAAAGTAGGGACTAATATGATATTAGGATATTTATTAATATCATGATATTTAGAGTATGGGAGCCAGCAAAATGGACATTGTGAGATGAACTCCAAAAAGCACATTTAAAATTAGGTCTTATATAAGCTAGATCACCCCTTCTCCCACTATGATATTTCATCATACTCTTCTGATTTCATTAACTTTCACATAACAACCTTCACAAATGATGGGAGGACTTGGTCTGTAATTCTGTACTTTAACTGTTGGGATGTCATCTCTTTCCTCTTGTCTCAATTCTTAGCATACTGTACTATTTAGCTGAATAGTCCAGTGCTTGACTGTCTTTTTAATATATCACAGCAAAAGGTTAAATAGATCTTCAGAACTAGGAAAATCCTATGTATCAACAAGTCAGTGGTGTTTATCATTTTTGCTGTTTGTGTTCTTTTTTTCAAAACACATTTCACTTGCCTCATAAAGTTGTTCAACTTTTTAAACATAGAATTCAGTCTATCATAAATATAAAAAAAATTACAGCTTAATTTTACAATGGTATTAAGAATATATTAAAATTATACATTAAAAAAGTATACCAGCTTACAACGACTTCTGCTGTAGTTTTAGCCTCTGTTCAATAATGTCTGAGAAACGAGGTACTTTTTTTGAAATAGCCACACGGATGTCATCACTCATATTAAAGCAGCTTCTGGATTTTGTTTTAAAATGTAAAAGTGATGAAAATCCCAGTTCACAAAGGTAAGTAGTTGCAAATGGCATAAGGATTTCTAGAGCTATCTTTGCCAGATTTGGAAATACCATGAATTGAGCACACCAGAAGTCCTCAAGCTTCATTGTCTCAAATTCCATTAGAATATGGCCACTAGCACGTAATTCAGCAAGATCATTTTTCAATAAATAACGATCATCGACAAAATCAAGATTAAAAAGAAATGGATCCAGTATCCATTTACTTGCCTCATCAAGATTGCCAATGGAAAAATATCCATGGAAAAAGTTGGTCAACTGCTGCAGATGTAGTGTTATTTCAGCTGTAATACACATTCCTTCATTATCTGAAATAATTATTTCTTCAAGAAAAGGAAAGTTGGTAAAATTTCTTTTCTCAATTCGTTTTTGCCAAAATGGAAATTTCCTAACAAAAGCAGATAACTTCTCTCTAGCTGATACTGTGTTCATCCCAGTCCTTTGCATAGATGCGCTAAGTTCATTTAGATGCTTGAATAAATCTGCAAGGTAGGCTAAGTGAATTTTAAACTCTTTATTTTCAAAGCCATCAACTAAATTACTATTTTGGTGGTGAAGAAACTGATTTATTTCTTCATACATTTCAAAAATATGAGTAAGCATTTGGCCTCGGGAGAGCCACCTCATTTCAGTATGGAAAAGGAGGACACTATATTCTATACCAATTTCTTCAAAGAATGCCTGAAATAGACGATGATTTGGTGCTCGCCCTTTGATAAAATTTATTACCCTCACCACAGTAAACAGAGAATCCTTCAGTTTCATAGGCAATGTCTTTGTGACAAGTGCATGGGGGTTCAACAAACAATGTGTGACCATGATATGAGGTACCTCTTTTTTCACACAGGCAACAAATTCTGAATTTTCTCCTACCATAGAGGAGGCACCATCCGTACAAATAGAACCACATACATCAAGTGCTATCTTGTGCTTCAAAAAGAAGTCTCTGAAGAGATAGAAGATATCCTGTCCCTTCATGGTTAACTGCAATTGTTCACAGAATAGGAATTCTTCTATGATTTCTTTTTCTTTAATATATCGCACAAATGCCATTAGCTGACTGCAGTCATCCATGTCAGTTGTTTCAGCAAGCTGAATACCTACTTTAAGAGGACTAGCTTTGATATCTTCTAGAACTTGCAGTAAAATATCTTGGCTCATTTCATCAATTCTAGAATGGATCATGTCATCTGATAAGGGTACTTGCTGAAGCTTCTTTTGTGCATCTGGTCCCAAAACTATTTGTGCTATTTCCAGTGCACAAGGTTTCACTAATTTTTCAGCTATTGTATGAGGATTCTTCTCCTTGGCACATAAATATGCAAACTGATATGATGCTTGTAATAAGGGATCTTTATGAGATCCAACTTTGAGAGCTTTCAAGGTTTCATTCTGGTTAGATGGTGCTGGCATATGCTTCAAGGTATTGAGATCATGCCCGGCTATACCACCATGTTGTCTGTTAAAATGGTCTGACAGTTTTGACGGTCTGAGGTCAGCATTTGAAAATATTGAGTTACATAACACACATTGTGGACGTTGAGTCCCATCAACTTCTGTTGTACAGGTGAACCAGTAACGAACATAGTCATTATCCCATTTACGTTTCTTCGACATGGCACACAAAAATTCTCAGGTAGTATTCCAGAGACGTCACGGAATTTTGCTTTGGGAGTAAAGTATAACCCACACATTAAGAATCAGTGTCTAACCAAATTTAAACAAAGCCATATCACATGCAAACCTGTCATCATATGCTTTCCTGTTCATATGTAGAAATGTCCTATAACATGTTAAATTTGAAAAAAATAATAATATGACTGTGGGACTTAAAGCTTGCAACTCACAGCTAATAACCTGGAATAAATACCATGCCAGTGAGATATGGGAGATTTGAGTTTAGGCAAATCATATCATTTGTGCCATTTGTATTCTTATTCTCAAAACATATTTCATTTGCCTCATAAAGTTGCTAATTTTTTTAAGCATAGAATTCAGTCTATTATAAATATAAAAAGAAACAAAATAATAGCTTAATTTTACAATGGCATTAAGAATACCATTTATTGGCAAATTGCAGTATGGTTTAATTCATTTTTTCTTCTTTTAAAATAAAAACACAAATCCTTTATTTGCTCAAAAAGACATCTTTTTTATTATTGTTGTTTAGGTTTTGTTATAGGGCATGTGTGCTTACCAGAGTGAGTGAGACAGAAAAAAAAAGAAACCAATCCCAAGGGGAGATAGTCATGCCACAATCCTTTCTTTCATTTTCCTCTTGGGACTTTTGGCATACACACACACATGTGCCTGGAGTGATTTTAAGCCACCAGGTCTGGGACTCAAACTGCACAGTTACCATGTGGGATCCAGCTGCTTTAACCATCAATTCACTGGAAGGGCCTTAATTTGTTTTTGATAATGTACGTTACAAACAAATCTGGTAAATTTTGTATCCCCAGAAAAGGGCATCTTAATATCACTCTCCTTCCATTCTGCCCCATAAATACACTCATACATCCACACCCTTAGTTAAGAATGACTGAATAATATATGTGTATATACACATGCAGTATGTGTGTAGATATATACATGCTTAGTATATTTTAATGTTTTACATAAATTCTTACTATGAAGATTTAAAATTTTGTTTCAAGAATTATTTTATTTAACTTTATTTTAATTTGACTAGAGAGGAACAGAGTAAGAAAGGGAAAGTGAGAAAGGCAAAATGAGAAAGCAAGCTTTCAGGCCAGGGACTCAAACCATGGTCAGCCATGTTGGGAGTCCAGTGCCCTTAACCACCACATCACCCTCTGGTCCCTGATTTTAAAAAATTCAAAATATTTTACTATTAACTTTAAGTTTGCTATAGGGTACATTTGCTCACCAGAAAGAAAGAGAGAAAGTGAGAAAGCAAGGTCTGAGACTTGAAGTGTAGTAGGCCATGTGAGAGTCTCAACCACCATGCCACCTTCTGGCCCCACTCTAAAGAATTTTTAAAGATGAAAATTTTTGGTTATCAGTAATAAATTTAATCTATGATAGTAAATGGTAGTCATCATGCACACCTAGGAATTATGGAGTTAAAAAAAAAAATCTGACTGCTTGGGCCAGCAGGTGGCGTGGTGGTTAAAGGTACTGGATTCCCAAGTGGCCGACTACAGTTCGAGTCCCAGACCTGGCAGCTTGCTTTCTTGTTTCTCCTTTCTCTCTGTCTCTATCTGGTCAAATTAAAAGTAATAATAACAAATGGAATTAAATAAATAAATAAATAATTCTTTAAAAAGTCTTACTTCAAAATTATTGTCAAATTAAATGGACATTCTAGGAAGACTAGATTTAACAATAAAGTTGACATAACATTAAGATTAAAAGAAAAAAAGTCTGGCCCCATGACACAGCAGTTAAGTGCTATGCATAGGAAGCCAGATTCCACATGGCCTACCATGGTTCAAATCCTTGCCTTGGTGGCTTGGAAAACACACAGGACACATGCACTTGTGTGCCCAAAATCCTGATGGGAGGGAGAAATGTAGGAAAAAGAACTGAACCATGATCACACCCCATTGGTATGTGGAGTGTATTCTCTCATGCACACATGCATGTGTGGATGGACCCTCGGGCAATTAAACAAACAAACAAACAAACAAAAAGAACTGGGGCTGACAGGAGGCATAAAGGTAAAAGCAGCTGGAATCCACATGGTTGTGTGATTTGAGTCCTGGACCTTATGGTTTACGAAACATGCTAGGGGTGTGTGTGTGTGTGTGTGCACGCCCCAAATCCTGAGAGAATGGAAGAGAAGTGATTATAGTGTGGTGGACCACCTGTAGGGTTACTTCTCATGTTCACTTTCCCCATCTTTCTCTTCTTCAGTGAACACATGTGCCCTATAGCAAACTACAAAAACAAACAAAACATCTGGAAAGGACTATATCATTAAAAACGTTAAGGGCAGATTCTGACGGGATGACTAATTCTTTGTAATAATGTATTAAATAGGTCTATTTGATCTGTAAGCAACTTTGACTTCAACTTAAACAGAAAATTTAAAACAGGTCTTCAAAGCTGATTAAGCCACCCTGATGCAAAGGCAGGTTACAAATTTGGCTCAGAGCTTCCATACTGCTAAGTAAAGCATAACAAACACACTATTAGTCCATGATTCATACTGTCCACACATAAAAGCAAATCTACCAATTGGGAGAAACATAACAATTCTCGTTATTGAAACCATACAAATTCCTCTCATATGAGGATGTCCTGAATGGTAACAATGAATTTCATGCTTTTCCCTATAATTCTCAGTTAAAGCAGTCAAGGAAGAAGCCAAACTACAGAATGAAATAAACAGAGGGCCATCTCCATAGCCCAGCAGATAAATGAGCTGAATCTCATGAGGCTTTCTATGGTCTGAATCCCAGCATCAGCTGCTTGAAAAAAAATCCTGGGTGAGGGTATGTGGGTGTCCCAAATCTAAATAGGATGGACAAATGGAGAAAGGGCTGTGGCGTGACCACACCCCATAGGAGTGTGCTTTCTTCTTTCTCTAGCAAGCATATCTGCCCTCCTGGCAATTAAAACAAAACAAAACAAACAAAAAACAGAAAATAAGTAGCATTCCTAACATTTGGTTTAACCCAAGGACAGAATTAGAAGGTGTGGTTCTCTAGGTTAGCATGGAGGAATCATCTGAGATTTCAGAGACCCGTTTCTACAGAGTCTCAATTAGTAGCTTTGGAGTAGTAGCCGAGAACCTGTTACAAATAAGCACTTTAGATAATTCTTTGAATAGTAACTGGAACAGTGATTTACATCACAATCAATGGGAGCCTTCCTGAGAGTGCCTTTAATACCTTAGAACTAATAAATTATCATCTCCAGAGGTAGGATGAAAGAATATGAGATAATGCTGACCAGGTGATCCTGATACATGCTCTATTAAATAGATTTAGAGGAATGAAAATACATGCTTCAAGTCAATCCCTAGGTTGCAGATATAGTAGTACCCCCTTACCCATGGTTTCAGTCACTTGTAGTAAACTGCAATCTGCAAATAGGTGATGAGTAAAGTACAACGGAATTTTTTTTTTAACTTTCTTTTCTTTTTCGGAGAGGTTTTTGCTATAGGGTGCGTGCGCTCGCCAGACAGACAGAGACATAGAGACAGAAAGTGAGAAATCACCCCCCAGAGGGGATGGTCACGCCGCAATCCCTTCTCCTCCATTCTCCTCTCGGGATCTTGGGCACACACGCACACGTGCCCGGCATGAGTTTTAAGCCACCGGGTCGGGGACACGAACCGTGGTCGACTACGTGGGAGTCCAGCGACATAGCCATTACGCTAACTGCTGGTTCTCTACAATGGAATATTTTGACAGAGAATATACCCCAATAGGACACGGAACACTGCAATTCCTTTTTTCTTCCTTTCTCCATCCTGTCAGGATTTGAAGCATGAATGCACATGTGCCTGACATGTTTTTCAAGCCACTGGAGCTAAGACTTGAACCGTGGTAGGCCATGTGGGATTGGCTCCCTATGCAGAGTGCTTAACCACTATGCTATGGTTATTGTATGTTATTATTTTTAATCTCTTACTATGCCTAATTTACAAAGTAAATTTTATCATATGTTATATATGTATAAGAAAAAATATAGTATATATAAGGTTCAATACTATCCCCATTTCAGGCATCTATTGGAGGTCTTGGAAAGTATCCCCTATGTATGAGGTATGACTACAGTATTCTATAATTGCCAAGTGAACAGTCCAAATGTGTTGATAGCCATTATTGTTTTTTAAAGTTTATTTATTTCTTCCATGAGCAGGAGAGAGTGAGAAAGATTGAGAAACAAAAGAGAAAGAGAAACAGGCACCCACAACAAGGTCTCCATGCCACATTCCATCCCCAGTCTCAGCCAACCTGGATCACAGGTACCTACCTGGTATACTCAGGGAAGTCTTGAGACTTGAATCCAAAACCTTTCCCATGTGGGTACAGTTGTACCACCACCTGGTCCTAGGCATTTAGATTTTTAAAATTTTCTGAGTTGATGACCTTTTATGAAAGTGAGGGATCTAAGAAAAGGAAGCCATGCCTTTGTCCCCCCTCTCTCCTTAGCAATAAAAAAAGGTAATATCAGGTCCAACAGATAGTGTAATGGTTATGTCGCTGGACTCCCACGTAGTCAACCATGGTTGGAGTCCCCACCTGGCGGCTTAAACTCACGCTGAGCGCATGTGAGTGCGTACCCAAGATCCTGAGCCTGAGAGGAGAATGGAGGAAAACGGATTGTGGTGTGGCCATCCTCCCTGGGTGGGGGTGGGGGGATGAGTTCTCGCCTTCTGTCTCTCTGTCTGTCTCTGTCTTTCTGGTGAGTGCATGCGCCCTATAGCAAAAACCTCTCAAAGGAAAAAAAAGGTAATATCATGGGTAGGTTCATATACACGTTAGAAAACAATTCTATCACCACGTCAAATAAGTATCATCAATATTTTTAAAATTCTCTCTCATAGAATGTGGCTAAAATTTAATGGGGGCACATTTAAATCCAAATGCCCAACTTGGCCATAAAAAAAAAAAAAGAACAACATGCCAACAATAGTCACTTAAAGGACTAGCTTTCTAGTGGATCTGCCAAGATTAGTTTTAGGATGTACTTGGGTATTAACTACTAAGTTGATCTGTTACATGACTGTTTCTTTTTTTTTTTTTTTTTTTTTTTTCTTTTAGGGGG